CAGGGATTCATAGATAGATAGATAGGAAGGAGGGAGAGAATGAACAAATAGATAGATAGATAGATAGATAGATAGATAGATAGATAGATAGAAGGGAGGGAGAGAATGAACAAATAGATAGATAGATAGATAGATAGATAGATAGATAGATAGATAACAATTACGCGTGCATACAAGAAACGTAGGCTTTGGATGCAATATCATTGAACAGCTATTTCAATTGCTGATAGACTGAGTAAGGTTTATGCATCCTCTTCGTACACGCACCAATACATTTTGAAAGTTAAAGAATATTTTAATTCAGTAAAAGTAATTTCATGAAAGACATCATTGTTTTAAATTGCTTATAAAAACATTTCTGAAGATATATTTTTTTTTAGAAAAGACACAAAATATATAACAGAAAATATTTCTTTTTTTTTTTGACTTTCACTGCTTTGAAACAATGAAGTTTCTAAACTCAATATTGGGAATGTTGTCAATAGGCAAGCTTTTGAATGAAGACATATTACCATTGTTGTATATTGTTGTAGTAAAGTTAAATGTTAAACTGTTTTTTCACATAGATGTAGAAGCTATTGTTTAATATATTTACTGGAGGGCTCAGTGAAAAAAATAAGTAAAAATACCAAATATACATTTGAAAAATAGCGACTTAACTTAAAGATAAAATAAACGTTAACTACATAATTGACACATCGACAATTATCGAAAATTACGCATATATTATACTGATGTGAAATATATATTCACAATTATCTCTACTCTAAAGTCGGTAGCTTAATTTAAATTGTAACCGTTACTGCCTACCTAATAACTGTTAGGATAATACAATAGACCTTGATAGCCATAATGCACAATAGGGTAGCATATATAAATAGTCGAGTCCACACACAAAACATAAGATATGTTCTGAAGATTGTTTTCAAGCATGAAACTGTCGCCGATCGCAGTTAACTCCTGTGTCCACTTTTACACACACACACACACACACACACATATATATATATATATATATATATATATATATATATATATATATATATATATAATGATAATAAGAAAACGGAGACATTAAGTCCCATCTTCTTATTATCATATTATCATTATAATGTTCTGTAGTTTACATTGAGCTCTCTCTGGATTTATATCCTCCGTGGAACTATCCTTACATTCACCAACTTGTAAAACGTATAACAAGTATGACAAGTTAACCAATGAGAGTGTGCGAGAGTGCGCTGCTAATATATAAATAATTATGATAAATATAAATTATAAATTACGATATATATATATATATATATATATATATATATATATATATATATATATACTGCCAATTGATGAAAGACATTCGGATTACTAACACAAAGACAGAGAATGTTTCATATCGAGAATATTTAACATTAAAAAACAAATAGAACAAATTAATTACTTTTAATAATATGTGGAAATCTCCGCCTTTTAACTGAAGACGGTCGCAAGACCAGAAACTCGTGTAGTAAAATTATGGAAAATAAAGCATAATATTTTTAAAAAAATCCACATTGCAACAAAAACGTTTGCGGCACCTCTCTTCTCTTCTTTTTAGTATACACACTTTTCTCTCGTTGGAACCACTATAAGCTCTTTCTTATATATATATATATATATATATATATATCACAATTTATGATTTATATTTATCATGCTATTAGTAATAAATATACATTTTTTCTTCAGCTGTAACAAAACTCTGATTTTAATGCACTATGCCATCGTCAGAGTTTTCAATCAGCAGCTGACGATTGCAGTGTGCATGAAACTTAAAGTTGAGCCGCCGATGAGGAAAAAAATGTTTATCTATTAATAATATAAATTATAGCTTACCTGAGCGCTATGGACTTTCCCTATGTGTATCCTGCTAGTATCGAGTACAGGTCGGCTGAGACAATTATAAAAATCAGTGTCGCGTAGCGTGGTAAAGAAGGAGGGTGCGTCGGGCCTGATCAGCTCTGGCAGGGTCGACTCAGCGAGGATGGTATGATGTTGTAAGGCCCGAAACTACCCAATGACCTGAGTAATTACATCACTGACGACACCCTTCAGCGCAATAAAAGTGCGTATTTCCGAAGATAGCACTCTTATACGTCGATCACTGTTTTATTATCACCAACATTTAATGTACAATATTATACATCTATTAATAAAAACACAAGAGTAAAAACTGTTCTTAGCCGACGTGTTTTGGACTCAGAGATTTTATCAAGGCAAATGTAAGGATTTTTTGTGGCACGTGTTTATATACAAGAACAAGGATGTCATTGGTTTATCAAGCCCTTTAAATTTGAGATTGTTCATGAATATGGTAGATGAAAGGTCAGTCAAAACTTGTACAGGACACAAAGTGCTATAATTCAAAGTCTGTTCAGACAAAATTAAGTGGGTAATGTTCAAGGAATATATATTTTAAATAAATAAATATTGTTTAAATTGTGATCAGATTTGATATTACTTGGAATGGAACTATATGTTGCAAATGTTCAAAAACATGCTGTAAATCCTTACTTTTGCCTTGTGAAAATCCCTCAGAGGAAGAACCGCGTTACCAAGAATGGTCTTTCCTCTTGTCTTTTTACACTTTGTTCCTTTACAGATACAATGTATCTGAAAATAATTTACACACACACACACACACACACACACATATATATATATATATATATATATATATATATATATATATACCATCATTGTACCATCATTAAGTACCATCATTGTTTGCCACCTAAATAAAAGTCACCTTAACGTTGAAACAATTTTGTAGTGGATATTTACATTTTCTAAATGCATAATATATATATATATATATATATATATATGTATGAATGTGTGTGTATATGTAGAAAAAACGATATATATTTTTTTATATAAAAACAGAACAATATTGGGGGAAGAATCTATGACATTCTTGTGACGCGTTTCGTCCTTTTTTAATAATCCGATGAAGCCCTAAAGGCCGAAACGCGTCAAAACCTCTTATGTAAAACATATTTTTTTTGTTATATATATATATATATATATATATATATATATATATATATGTATGTATGAGAAAACAAATAAAATCTGTTAAGACAAGAGACTGACAAGTTATGTCTGTTATATTTTTTAATCAATTTATACTGTTTCTGACTGAAGTTCTGTATTTCACTGTTCAAGGTGTAAACGTACTCTCAATATATATATACATACATATATATATATATATATATATATATATATATATATATATATATATATATATATATATATAGTTAGGTAAATGAGATGATTAGATATTAGCGAACGTATAGATGTGTGCTGGCGTGTATACGCTGGTAGGCAAATAAATAATTTCCCTAATTTAGCCAAGTGGTGTAAACATAATCGTGTTCAATATGATTAGACAGAGATAAAAATATATGTTAATAATATACACATATACCTACGTTTGATGTGCGACTCAAATTTCGTTGGTTACCCAAGTCACCAGGTACGATATATCGCTTATTGTTTATTTTGAAAAGTATACAGAAGCTCGATGATTTGGATAACCAACGAAATTCGTCGTCACATCAAACGTAGGTATATGTGTATTTATTAACATATATATATATTTACTATATCCCCAAAACATATATTAAAAGATTTAAATTAAAATTAAAAAGATTTTAAATTCTAAGCGTCCCTCTCCTTCATGCGCATGCGTATTTGAATCAACGTAAACATCACTTTAGTCCAATGAAAACCAAAATGACAAAATGCGTGACGTGAAAACTTCTGCCTATTTGTCATAGTTTTTTTTCCCTAAATTATTATTGATATATCAGAATATATATGGTCCCCCCATATATATATATATATATATATATATATATATATATATATATATATAAATATAACATATATCAACATTTAGATATATACAGTCTGTTTCATGCTATATGCAATCGTCAGGCCACGATTGCATCTAGCATGAAACAGACTGTCGCCTCTAAGGGTTGACTTCTATGTTCACTTTTATATTTACACACGCTCTATCTCTGATATCGAGCACTTCATCCCATAAATATAGCACACATTAAGACTATATTTCCTCATATATATATATATATATATATATAGTGAGAAAGAGAGAGAGAGAGAAAGAAAGAGGGAGGGAGAGAGAGAGAAAGAGAGAGACAGACAGAGAAAAAAGTATGTCTAGGATATGCACGTATATAAAAAACTTATGACTTGGAGATGTATGAACACAAAGCAGAGTAGAATATTAAGAGTCTATTACTTGCACAATGTAGGGTCTGCGTTTCGAGAGGGCCCCCGAGGCCACCCAGCCACTGGTTGATGATAACCGACAAGGTGAATAAAATGTATACTTGCATATTAGTGGGCAAATGCAGTAATGGACAGCGATTCAGATTGAAAAATCGGAGGTCTGCGTTCGAATTCCAGTAGAATCAATTACTTTCACTTACATGCCAATACCCTTGGGTAAGGCATGAATCCTCTTCTTCCCCTCACTCCACTAGCTATAGATAAATGTCCTCGTCAGTCATGTATCGAACACGAGTATCGCGCATGGCACATAACTGATTGACATATGAATGAAGTTTCGTGTGCTTTCAATAGTAAAGTAGGAAAACGATGTTACAGTAAGAGACTGTTTTTCGTACTTTTATTTTCTGCCTTTTGAAATCTTCTCTGCTATTAATCAGGGATATTTCTCAAGTACCATTCCTTTCGTTTTAATACCGTTTCGCTAACGCACCTTTTATTTTGCCCAGTTTGTATTACCTTATTATTGCGCCATTTTCTTTTATTCGTTCTTTTCTATATTTAATATCATGTAGAGAGACAAGATGAATGTTATACGCCACACCAGCTCCCTATTCGTTTAAGTGAATCTTCTAGCAATGCCGCCATTGTTTGGCAATAAGGTATTCATTTGAATTTTTATGCACAAAGCACTTGATGAATAAATGTTTGTAGAGCTCCCCTACCCCCGAAGGATACTGAAGAAACTAGGCTTGACAGAAGGGAAAGTGGAATACAACAGTAGTAAGAACAAAAATGTGGGAAGAGACGACTCCAAGAAAACAATTATTGGCGGTTTGGACATTAAACTTTCCCAGTGTCTTTTTGAAATAATAAATACACGTAAGCTTCTCGAGTTTTTCACTGCCTCTTTTCTTTTTTTTTTTTGTCACTATCGTTATCATTATCTTTTCGGCTTAAAAATTTTCCTCCATCTATTCATTCTTTCTTTCTTTCTTTCTTTCTTGCTTGCTTGTTTTGTGTTTAGCATTTCTTCTACAAGTGTTCATTTTACTTGTGTTCGTTCTTTATGTCCACCATTTATTTTCTTTCCTTCTGTCTTTCTGTCTGTCTGTCTTTTTCTTTCTTTCTTTCTTTCTTTCTTTCTTTCTTTCTTTCTTTCTTTCTTTCTTATTTTGTTTTCAGAATTTCTTCTACAAGTGTTTTTTTACTTGTGTTCGTTCTTTATGTCCGCCATTTATTTTCTTTCCTTCTGTCTTTCTGTCTTTCTTTCTTTCTTTCTTTCTTTCTTTCTTTCTTTTCTTTTTTTTTCTTTCTTTCTTATTTTGTTTTTTCAAATTTCTTCTTTTTTTTTGTTGTGTTCGTTCTTTATGTCCGCCATTTATTTTCTTTCCTTCTGTCTTTCTGTCTGTCTTTCTTTCTTTCTTTCTTTCTTTCTTTCTTTCTTTCTTTCTTATTTTGTTTTTCACAAGTGTTGTGTTCGTTCTTTATGTCCGCCATTTATTTTCTTTCCTTCTGTCTTTCTGTCTGTCTTTCTGTCTTTCTTTCTTTCTTACTTTCTTTCTTGCTTTCTTTCTTTCTTATTTTGTTTTCAGAATTTCTTCTTGTTTTTTTGCTTTCTTTTTATGTCCGCCATTTATTTTTTTCCTTCTTATTTTGTTTCTTTCTTTCTTTCTTCTTCTTTCTTTGTTTTTTACTTTTTTTACTTGTGTTCGTTCTTTATGTCCGCCATTTATTTTCTTTCCTTCTGTCTTTCTGTCTGTCTGTCTTTCTTTCTTTCTTTCTTTCTTTCTTTCTTTCTTTCTTTCTTTCTTTCTTATTTTGTGTTTAGCATTTCTTCTTTTTCATTTTTTCGTTTGTGTTTCGTTCTTTATTTCCTTTTTCTTTTCTTTCTTTCTTTCTTTCTTTCTTTCTTTCTTTCTTTCTTTATTTTTTCTTGTTTTTTCTTTCTTATTTTGTTTTCTTTCTTCTATGTTGTGTTTTCGTTCTTTATGTCCGCCCTTCTGTCTTTCTTTTCTTATTTTTTCTTGCTTTCCTTTCTTTTGTTTTGTTTTCAGAATTTCTGTCTTTTGTTGTGTTCGTTCTTTCCGCCATTTATTTTCTTTCCTTTCTTTCTTTGTCTGTCTTTTCTTTCTTTCTTGCTTTCTTTCTTTCTTATTTTGTTTTCAGAATTTCTTCTACAAGTGTTTTTTTACTTGTGTTCGTTCTTTATGTCCGCCATTTATTTTCTTTCCTTCTGTCTTTCTGTCTGTCTGTCTTTCTTTCTTTCTTTCTTTCTTTCTTTCTTTCTTTCTTTCTTTCTTTTGCTTTCTTTCTTGTTTTCAAATTTCTTCTACAAGTGTTTTTTTTTTGTTTTCGTTCTTTTTTATGTCCGCCATTTATTTTCTTTCCTTCTGTCTTTCTGTCTGTCTGTCTTTTTTCTTTCTTATTTCTTTCTTCTTTCTTATTTTGTTTTCAAGTCTTCATTTTTTTTTGCTTGTCTTCTTTATGTCCGCCATTTATTTTCTTTCTTTTTCTTTCTTTCTTTTTTCTTTTCTTTTTTCTTTCTTGCTTTCTTTCTTTTTTTTTTGTTTTCAGAATTTCTTTACTGTTTTTTTACTTGTTTCGTTTTTCTTTCCTTCTGTCTTTCTGTCTGTCTGTCTTTCTTTCTTTCTTACTTTCTTTCTTGCTTTCTTTCTTTCTTATTTTGTTTTCAGAATTTCTTCTACAAGTGTTTTTTTGCTTGTGTTTTTCTTTATGTCCGCCATTTATTTTCTTTCCTTTTCTTTCTGTCTTCTTTTTTCTTTCTTTCTTTCTTTCTTTTCTTTTCTTTCTTTCTTATTTTGTTTTTAGCATTTCTTCGACAAGTGTTTTTTTACTTGTGTTCGTTCTTTATGTCCGCCATTTATTTTCTTTCCTTCTGTCTTTCTGTTTCTGTCTTTCTTCTGTCTTTTTGTTTTCAGAATTTCTGTCTTCTTTATGTCTTTATTTTCTTTCCTTCTGTCTTTCTTTCTTTCTTTCTTTCTTTCTTTCTTGCTTTCTTTCTTTCTTTCTTATTTTGTTTTCAGAATTTCTTCTACAAGTGTTTTTTTGACTTGTGTTCGTTCTTTATGTCCGCCATTTATTTTCTTTCCTTCTGTCTTTCTGTCTGTCTGTCTTTCATTTATTTTCTTTTCCTTCTTATTTTGTTTTCAAATTTCTTCTTGAAGTGTTTTTTTGATTGTCTTCTTTATGTCTTTCTTTCCTTTCTTTCTTTGTCTTTTTCTTTCTTTCTTTCTTTCTTTTCTTTCTTTCTTTCTTTTTTTGTGTTTAGCATTTCTTCTACAAGTGTTCATTTTACTTTTGTTCGTTCTTTATGTCCGCCATTTATTTTCTTTCTTTGTCTTTCTTTCTTTCTTTCTTTCTTTCTTTCTTTCTTTCTTTTTCTTTCTTTCTTATTTTGTGTTTAATTTCTCTCCTTTTTACTATTCTTTTTATGTCTTTCCATTGTTTTTTTACTTTTTTCTTTCCATTATTTTTATTATTCATGAATAATTTTCTGACATTTATAATATTTTGCTTCTCAAGCACTCACATATTTTCCTGTATACCCCACTTTTTTTTCTTTCGCTCTTTCAATTTGCCACTCTTTCTTCTTATCTACCTTTCCTTCAGCATTTCTCCATCCAACTAGCAAATGGAGTCCAACATTAAGAACTGGGTTTGGCCATGCAGGAAATTAACACTAAACTTTCGACCATATTTCCGGGAAAAAAGATGGCGACAAAAATGAGAAATAGAGAAAACATTTACGAACCAAAAAGCTTGTTAACACAAATTCTTTCCCATCAAAGAGAACTGAAACTTACTGTTAGACTTCAATGATAGAATTTCCGGTAAATAATCAAGACAGCTTAGTGGCAAGAATTAAAAACAACAGATTTGTTACAAGATTATGCTAATCTCTAATATCAAATGATTTCTTCCTCTTGCGATACCAAATAACTATAATTGTGATAATCTGCGATATCAAATAATTACATTAAGTGGTGTATGGGGTATACTCTTCTTCTTATTCTTCTTCTATATGCCACGCTCATTCGAGACGTTAGATATCATGGCTCTCCACAATGTTCTAAACGTTGTGTTGGTAACAACAAAAATAAGGACTATAAATAATTTAAATGGTGAAAATATTAATAAAAACTGTTTAGAATTTGTTATAAACAGTAACTACCATCATTTTATTCTTGTTCAAATGATGGAATGGTCTTCTCAACCAAATTAATACCAAAAAGATACCGACTTTTTAACAATTCTTACAAATCATGAATATTTCCCAGTGGATCACCTTCCTTAACCACGTTTGCTCTTCATCAATTTTGTTTCTAAGCCAATTTTACTATATCGCTGATTATATCGTTCGCTGTTTCGACTTGATTTCCATACAGTTAATGTTTTTAAATCTAATTTATTCCAAGCAAGGCAGTGAAGTCATTAAAACACAAGGGTTATTGGGCGTGAAAGAATTAGAAATCAGAAACATGAAAGCGCGAGAACATTAGAAGAGTAATCAGGAAGACAGTAGATAACGATTGACACTGCATTTAAATTTTTGTCCGCGAAGCATGGAGTCGGAAGAGAGTTCTACAGGTGAGAAGTGCGATAGAAATAACTTTTATCACTTTTTATTACATTTATCCTATTCAACTGTAAATTGATGACACATTGTTGCCAATCTAGTATTGCGTTTAAATTCATAAAGTTTTGGTACCACAGTGAAGAGCTTGTCCGAACAATTACCATGAAAGTATTTATAGAAAAAGCACAGAGAAGCAACTTTATGATGGTGGATGGTAAGGACCAATAATATTGATGATTTTTCTTTGGATTTTATCAAGAATCTCTAAATATACAGTAGGAGCATCGGACCATATGTGACAGCAATATTCTAAGCATGGAGGAATGGTAGACTTATAGGTATGTAAGATAGATTCTGGAGATAAAAATTGTCTCGTACGTCATAGATTACCAACTTTCTTAGCAGCTAACCTTCAATCTAGTGTTTCCACTTCATGTAAGCCGAGAATATAACCTGAGATGGACCAAAGAGTCATTCTCCTGGAGCTTAGCACCAAACATCCCAATAGATGGCAGAAAGGGTTTTCTCAGATTATTTAGAGAGCAGTTTTGTCTTAGAGGCATATAAATTAACAATCAATTCTTTGAACCAGTTAGCAACACTGTAGTTCCTTTTGGGGATCGTGATTAGAACATTCGCTTTCTGACCTTGAGACCCGTGTTCGAATCTCACCATATCATGATTTGTCAGGAAGGAGACTTCTTGGGGGGGGGCGATCTCAGCGTTCGTTACATTTGGAAAGTGCTTGAAAACCATACCACGGTTTAACTCAAGTCTTGTGAATGAAATTGGGTAGACGGAACCCTTGGGAGCCGTTGATGGTTGTGCTAGCACGAAGTCACAAGTCATCGTGACCGAGGATTTTGAGTGTGCTGGCCTTGTTCAGACTGTTGAACACGCTAGATAACGTTCTCTCCCTCGGAAACTGTAACTAAGGCCCGATCAGCATAGTTTCAGCTTAAACCACAGCTGGGCTACGTGGGTGTTGAACAAACACAAATGTGCCTGAACAGGCTTCTGCAATGGGGACTTGCGTCTTGTATCATCAGCATAGATACCAACTTGAGAGCTGATTTCATCAAGAAGGTTATTAATAAAAATTAAAAACAAAGTTGGTCCAAGGATCCTGCAGGATCTAGAAGTGTGGTCGATCAGGACAAGTTTCATTTCTCGATCTGAAAAGAAAGACTGAATCGGTTCAAAAAATTAGTCCCGAATCACGCTATCTTTTCAACTTGTGAAGAAGACCAATATGCAAAACACTGTCGAACGCTTTCGAGATGTCCAAAGAAACAGCCTGAACTTAACCATAACTTGACCTGTTATGATTCATGATGATAATGATATTTCATCATTCTAGAAATCAGCCAGTTATTTTGAATATAGGTGATAGACGCTTAGGTGATCATGTAGCTTTCGATAAATGACTGACGAGGTAGATTTTTTCTCGCAGTAGGTTGCCATTTCTTTGTGAGATAGACCAGTTGCCAACCAAGGATATAGAAGCCGATCTCTTCTGCTATTTACCCATAGCTGGGGGTAGAAGAGGATTCATGCCTTTCCCATGGGTATTAGCACGTAAGTTAATGCAATGGTATTCGAACTCTAGAATTCTAATTCTAGAAATAAAGATCTGAAATTTCATCATTATTAAAACAACCTTTCCACCACAAGCAAGAGTTTCAGTCGTAAAAAGAACACGGATCTTTTTTGCTCTCTGAAAATCCAGAGTTGACGGTTTCAAAAGCTTCCCTTAAACATGAAATTTTCAGAACAATTCTAAACATGTTAACCCAGACTTTTAAAGAAACAAAAAGAGACAATATCCCTGGGAAGATTTAACACACAAGATCAATATTGTAAATAACATCACGATAAGAAAAAATACATTCTTTCATTAATTTCAACACGTATCTCAAAATCTTATCGTTGTATATTATTGTTGTACGTTTTATTCATTTCATTTTCAGTATAAAAAAAAGAGAAAATGAATCATCTATCAACTACTAATACGTGTCACACGGGGTAAATTACAATAACAACTCAACCTTCCACAACGTTACAGACTTTTACAATGTTGGCTTTTATTGATGTGTCCTTTTTGTATTCATGTTCATAATTTATCTTCCACTCTTTAAGTGTTTCTCAGCCCGAAGTGAGACAAACTTCTGCGTTGCTTAACTATTGTAAGTTGTGTATAACAGTAGAGAGGCGCTTACACTAAATGTACTAGTTTGGCCAAAAAGTCCGTAATCACTTAGGAAGCGGAAAGAAAACAACAAATCTCTCCCCTCTCTCTCTCTCTCTCTGGTAGAATTTCCAAGGAGTAATGCATTTCGAACTTGTCCTACGGGGTCCTGTCTTCAACGCTAAAATTTCGCAGTAAACAACAAATTGTTTGTTTTTGTTTAAAGAATTCTGCGCGTCCCAGATGACGTCGCTGATTGGTTAATATATATGAATAGAGAAATTTAAATTTGCAGTCGACAAAATGCACAACATAGAAAGCGGAAAGAAAACGACAAATCTTGATCTCTGTCTGGTGAAATTTCCGAGGAGTACTGCATTTCGAACTTTGTTCCACATAGCCGTACCATCAAGGGAGAACCTTAAACAAATGGCCGGTGTTGAGATTCTTCCACTTCCACCGTTCAGTCCCGATGCTGCTCTTAGTGACTATGGCTTATTCTGCTCAATGGCACACTTCATACCCGACAAGCGATTCAACATTTTTGACGAAGTGAAGGAAGCTTGTTTACAGTTTTTTATTCAAAGCCAGCGAACTGGTATCTGGGACAAATTCGGATGCTGACTGATCGCTGATAGAAGATAATCGAGAATGATGAACCTTATTTTGAAGAATAAATGTTAGTGTTGCTCCATAAAATTTTGTTGTTTTCTTGCCGCTTCATAAGTGAGTCAGGAATTTCTGATCAACGTCATGTTTTACGTGTGCGTTTCAAACGAAGTTGACAAGGTGTAAAGTTTAAGATTTTGATTGGGAAATCATGAGATTCATTTTTTGTTTGCTTATCAGTGCTTGGATTAGAGAGCACACTGTGATTGCAATGTTCAATTCTGTCATTTGGAAATTGAAGAGACAGATCACTTGACATCGATAGCTGATCTTTAAACAAGAACAGTAATATCTAAAGTGAATGACAGTCCCATATGAACAAGGTGTCGAGACAGGTTACAGTAACAGAAAGCAACAAGGGAGTTGCAAAAGAAAAGAGTGCAATGAAGAGGAATAAATACCAAATTAAGATGCTTCCCCTCAGAGAAAAACGTTTAAGAAACATTTAATATTTTCAATATTATGTTTACTGAAATGTGTATCCAATTTTGCCAAAGTTCGTGTGTCTAAGAAAATGACACCAGGTGGCTTCATATTTTTCTAAACGGTTTTAAACAATAAATTGAGAAAAATGTATTACTAAATTATATATATATATATATATATATATATATATATATATATATATATATATATATAGAATCGAATGTCATAAAGAAAAAAAAAAAAAATCTTCTAAGTAAACTATTTCCTTCCCAGAAGGAACTTTTTTGACGGAATCTGACTTCTTCTTCTTAAAGTGTAATAAAACAATTAAGATTAGTCTGTGAAAGGACGAGGAAATATATCATTATTATTATCTTTAATGACCCCTGTGTGTAAAGAATAAAATGCCAACCCAAATTTCGTCCGTAAGCTTACTTCAGACAAAGGGAAAGGTATGAATCCTCTTCCTCTCCCTCCAGCTATGGGTAAAATAGCAGGACAGACTGGGTTCTATAGCCTTGGGTGGCAACTGGTCTAGGAGAAGG